TCTATAGGTATTAAAATTATTGTAACATTCATATTTATTTATTCAATACATTTTATATCATTAAATAATTTAAATTTATAATTCTTTAAAAACAATTTTAGAATGAATATTTAAACTATAAATATTTAAAAAATATTCTTACACTGCTTTAAAAATGTCAACCACTTATTTGAATGTTGACTATTGATTTTCTTATGCTTGTAAATGAAATACTCAGATAAAAATCTAAAAAGTTTCTATTATTTAGTATACATATTGTGTAATAATATGTTATTAACCCCTAACTATACAATCTGGTGTACTTTGTATATCAAGATTTCCATTTATCTTGTTTTATTTTACTTTATAATTGTTTTCAGTTATTCACCTATAACCTTTCCTCATCATATAATATACAGAGTGATTTTTTAAGTATGCTCGCCCACATTTTTTAGTTTATTAGTAGACTTATTCAAATTTTGATTATTAGAATTTTAAGGTATACCTTAAGACCATATTATTTTTTAATTCCTAATATTTTTGTACTACCTAAAGAGTTTCCTGTGGTAATACAAACATCTGTTTTTCAAATGAGGACTCTCCCTTTTTTACTGAAAATGTTGATTTAACTAAATAGAAATTCTAATGAGTAGTTTCTGAGTTATTAAACTGACTATTCAAATTATAATAATCCTTAAAAATGTTTTTACTAAAATATAAGCTACATTTAATATTAGATATATAGTATTTATTGTACTTTGATAATTTTTAAAAATGATTTGTATGTATGTATATTTTATTTATAAATCAACAGTAATTATACTAATATTTTCAAATCGTTTAACCATTACCAAAGAAATATTATCTGTAGTTCCTACACAGTCATAGAACTCAAAAAGTACTTTTTCGAATTTTGATTTAAATACATGAAAATTCTCATAAAAAATATCTCCTTTATAATTATAAATGAAAAATAGAAGTTTGTATCATCTTTATGTGCCACAAAATATCTCAAGTATTCAAAAATATGGTCTTCAATTGTATTTGAAAAATTACAAAAAAAAGAATTCAACATACAAACAGGGATGAGCATGCTTAAAACATCACCCTGTATAATAATTAGAAATCTGCCATGCATGTAATATTTTTAAGTTTTACCTCTTATATTGAATGATAATACCGATCATTTATTTAATATTTAATTATTATACTGGTCAAATCATATGTTATATGAAGTAAATTATTTTATAAGTAAATAAACAAAATTGTATAATATTTAATACCATATTGATGTCTGTGTAAATCAAATGGGTGTATAAAATACACAGCGTGTGTCATTATTGAAAAACAAATATCGCATATTGTAGTTTCAAATAAAATTATATTTCTAGTTTTTAGTATTAGCTATCATACAGGGGTTAAAATGGGGAGCACAGGAAGACTCAGAGGTCCCCCTCAAGCGTCCCCTTTAATAAATTAGGATTTTATACATTAGACATTGTACGTAAAATTATATATGGAGCTCTTAAACTACATGGAGACATTAGTGCCCAATAGAATTTTTTCCCTCTTGAACCCCTGCTATCATATAAGATGCATTTGTTTTTAACAGTGTTATCCATACCTCATTCATCAGCAAGATTAAATACAAACTGTACAACTTTTGGTGAAAACGATCTGAATGGGTAAGTACCATTAAAATAACATTTTTTAAAATTTTTAATGCTTTTCTTGTACAATTTAAACAATTTATAATTGTTAGTTGTTTTTTTAATCAGCTATTAAAGTATAAAATGTAATAAAATACTGCACTACTTTTGTCGTATTCTTTATTAATTCTCATCTTGATTACAATAGTATAGAAACATATCATCCATCAAAATGCAATCTAGAGCTTTGATGTTCCTGACTATATTATAGTACACCTATATATTATGCATTATACATAATATAAAAAAATATATTATACTATATAAGTACCTACTGTCCCTAGTGTAATAGTATAATATACATTTTTAAATCGTGTTTTTTGGTATTAAATGAACGCATTCATATTTTCAAAGAACGTGAAAGTGAAAGTGTTCATTTAAAAAAAATTAATTCTAAAACTAATTAAATTAAAACCAATTCCTTTTTTAGGCACTCTACGTGAATGAATTCACTTTTTTAGTGAACATTCCGAACACTGTTATAATCTAACCTAACCAACTACTAAATCTTTTTCACTAGGCAATTATCGAAAATTGACTCCACTCTTTTATCAGGGTTATTTCATTATTCTTTGGAATTGGGAGTACCTATTTCAACTTTCACGTAGTACGTCCTAACTATGGTTTACTGCCACACAATTTATCTGTTTATTGGTCTATCTAGCCGGGGAGACTATTATAATAGTATATTCAAAGTTCCAGGCTCCTAACTATAGACATGGACTAGTGAAAAGGAACTATTATTGTGCACAATTTCCATTTTAAACTCAATTAACTAATGAAAATATTCACCAACATTGTTTAGTTTCACCTTAAAGGCTTAAACAAAGTTTTAACTATAGTTATTCCAAACATGACGACTAATCAAAAAAAAATTGGGCGATTATGCTTAACCGGGTTTATTGCAATAAACCTGGTTATCAATGTTAATCGTGATTAAGAGAACAGTTACACGAACATTTGATGTCTCCGTCTTACAAGTGGGCAACATAGCAAATTGTACGCTCAGCAGAACACGTTTAGTTCTGTTAGTTGAACAATTAGAGTGAATTGACCTGTTATAAAATTTAAAGGTAAGATTATTAAATAGACAATTTCATTAGATTTTTATTATATTTTAATATAGACAATCTCATCGGGTTTCAACTATGTTTTGATTTTAAAGCAAGTTATGAGTATTTTAAAATTGTAAGCTTGTACATCTAAAAATACTCATAACTCGCTTCAAAATTAAAATATAATAAAAATAAAATAAAATTGTCTAGATAATAGTCTTACCTTTACATGTTATAAGAGGTCAATTCACTCTAATTTTTTAACCAGCAGAGCTACCATGTTCTGCTTAGCGTACAATTTGCTCTGTTACCTACGCAATTGTAAGACGGAGACAACAAAACTTGTCGGTGTAAAATGCTAACGTTTTCTTAATTGTACCAGGCATGGCCGTGCTGATGGTGGGGGAAGCGGGGTTTATGGTGTTCATGGACAAAATTTCAGCAACTAGGAGTGTCCGGTATTTAGTGGTTTCACTGTATCTATGTTATTACACGATAACTGTTAACTACTGATAGTTAGGTACTAGGTATTTGAGTACTAAAAAAATGAATTTAATTATCTACTAATATTATATAAGTATATCGTATATGTGATCATAACAACTCAATTAGGCACTGTTAAAGTATTATTGGTATTATTAACAAAAACTAATTTTTTTTCATACCAATATTTGCATGTCGAGTAATATTCTGCCGTCATGAGTCAATACAGGGTAACTCCAGTCAATAAAATTGTTGAGAAGCAGCAAATAATGTTTTTAACAATAAATCAAGCCTTAAAAAATGCTTATACAAAAAAATGAGGTTTTTTACTTAATTTTTACGGACAAGTCATTTTATCTATATAGATAGATAGATAGATTAGTAGATGAAACCAGATATTTAAAAAAAAAAAAAGACTTAGTTTTGTACTGCGCTTTGTTGATAATTATTATTATTTCAGATCATAAGTTAGATATAAATAAATGATCACAGAGCAAATGTGATGAGTGGATCATATTCTGATGTCCAAAAAAGAATTAAGGCGATTGTACCTCATTTATTGTATGTTCATTGTTATGCACATCATTTAAATCTTAGTCTCATACACACTCTTAGCAGTCTTTTAATATTTTAACTATTTTTTTTTAATGTCGTTCAAAGTTCATACAAATTTTTGATGAATGACAAACAAAATATGAACTATTTGTGGATATTAAAAAAAAAAAAAATAGATGTTTTTCACTTGGAACGATTAGTTCATACTCGTTGGTCGTAAGAAAGTAAGTATTGTAAGAATATACAAAAACCAGATATTTATTTTACACTGAAAACTCTATCGAGCTTCCCAGTGCCATTAATGAAACAATAACATTTTTGACTGTTTTATTAACTTTACCTGTCATCACAGCTACCAATAAGCGTTTTTTCTCCTTTGAAACAAGTTAAATCATTCTTAAGAAGTACAACCGGGGATGAAAGATTAAGTAATATAATGGAATTACATGTTGAAGGAGAGTATGCAAGTAATGTTAACTTAGAAGAAACTGTTGATAGGTATGTTTGCTAATCTTAAGAATAGAAGATTTCCTAACCGTATGTAGTAAGTGTTTATTATATGTGAGAGCAGAATCAAATACCACACCTAAATCACTAATATCATGAACATGAGACGAGACTTTTATGATAAAAAATCGGAAAATTTTATCAGTTGCCCCATCCTTTCAAAATCTGAAATTAAGCCCCTGAATACAATATAATTATATAGAAATTAAAAATATTGTAAATACAATTTATCATACAATTAATTATTTAAAGAATACTTCAGATTTTGGAGTTTTATTAAGATAGAAAAATGTTGTTTTTATAATAAAGTCATTTTAACAAAGTTATTTTAAAGGCATTTACAACTATGAATGGCGTTTATGTTATTGAAAACAATAGTTAAACATTTAAACATATTATATTCTGATGAGAAAGAATATCAGTAGCTACTAATCCACATTCACAATCATGCTCAGTAGTAGGCTGTAATGTGGTACCTTTGTATTTTAAATTATGCATATTAAATAAATTAACATAGGAAAATATGATTTATATACAACAATAACTGTATTAAAATGAAGTTAAATAAGGCATCTAATAGAAGTTATTATATACATTATTAAGAGTATTAATTATTTACAATTTATTCAGTTTTGATCAAATACAAATTTAAAAACGAGTTAATAACATTACAAATTGTATACAATTTAAGATACGTAAGAATTGAAATACATTAATCTAATGTTATAACACATAAAACCGATTTTGAATTATCTTTTTCTTGATGTCTATTATTTCTACTATTCCCAGAGCTCCCAGCTACGCAGTTATTGGACCCTGAGATTGAAATGTTTTGATGGTTAACATTATTTGACAGAGTGCTTGATTCCATTCGGTTTAATGATATTAATGGGCATGATGTACCACCATTATTCGATTTGTCACTTCGATAACTTTCAGAAGGATTTGTTAGGTCTTCAGTTCCCATACCATGTTCAGATTCTCCCTCTTTTGATGAATTATATTTAAAACGTTTTGGTTTTGGAATAATCTCAGCCTTACCAACATTGTCTATGTCACTTTCACTATTATCTGTATCATCTGTATCATCTGTATCATCTGAATCATCATCATGATCTGATAATGTAAACACTGGTATATTGTTTGTAGATCCATTGTTATTTGTTTTAGAATTGTTTGAAAATTCTTTATTTTTGCCATCAGACCATGTCCCATCTTTCAATAAAAGAACATTTTCACATTCTTCGCTTAAATCTGGACTTTGAAGCATGTTTAAAAAAAACTCATCAACTTCAATGTTTTCAAACTTAATTTTTTTCGTACATAATGGGCATGTCCATTTTTCCCTTTGTTCATTCATCTGTAAAAATTGTATTGCATCAAAACACTGTAAATGTATACAGTCTACACCTCGAGCAGGAAGTTTCATTCTTAATTTAGTTAATGGATCCTTAACAGTAGTATATATATAGTCTACACCCATATCAGCATCATTTTCCATAGATTTTTTAATAAGTTCTTTAGTCTTATCAGAGGCACGTACGGGTCTTTTTTTAAGTTCTTCAAGCAGATCATTCGAAGTCAATTTATGGGCCAGAAAAACACCAATCATATAATTGTGTAGTTCGTTTGACCATGAAATGTCTAATGTGTTCTTTACAAAAGTATTTAAAATCGTTTGTTGAGTAATATCTATAGGAACATTGCTCCGCCACGAAGCGATGCCAATTTTTGTTGGGATGTTTAATGTAGGTAACTTACATTGACGGTCATTTACAGAAACTGTGAGATCATAAGGTAAACGATCAGGAACATTTGTATTACGTCCAACTTGTAGTAATCTTAAAATAATTTGAATTTTATATTCTTGTCTAGCACTATTCCATGAATTAGCAATAGCAAGTCTAACATTTTCCGTTAGATAAAATATCCCACTTATTTTGGCAGAATCAGTATTGTAGTACATAGGGTTTAATAATGTTAGCACTGTCTTAAAGAATGGTATGGGTTCAAATTGTATAGCTGGACTTGAGGTTTCAACAAAAGGTTGTATACTCGGTTGTATAGGATTTGGTCTTGGTGGTGTATAAGATTGGCTATGAATTTGAAGGTTGTATCGAGGTTCTTGTAAAAATTCTGGTGGTGGTAGTTGAAATTGTTGAGATAGTTGGTTTTGTCGTAGTCTAGTGTTATAGACTTCTAAAATTTTTTGTTCCATATTTATTGGTTTTAGTCTAGGATCAGTTAGAAAGCATAAAACACGATTGCGTAACAATTGTATGCTACCAGATGGGCTCTGCTTAACATCTTTTAAAATTTGCTGTAGTTCATTTGGTCTTAAATCATATACCACCTGATAAACGTATTCAATATCCACCTAAAATCAAAAAACAAAAACAAATTATAGTTTAACAAGTAAGTAACTTTATACAACTGAAGATGGGATAAAAAAATAATAATTTGTAATGCAAGTTATTGTAAGTTAGTTAATGCAAAATATTAATTCATCATTTCATGTACATTTGTACACACCTACACCTTGCTTATTATTTAGTTATTTATAATAAATGTCATACAAATTTGTAATAGGCACTAAAAATAACAGCAACATTTATACATGCATATATTACCTACTTAGGTATATTATTTTTTGATAATTAATTTAAAATATTTGTTAAATTCTTGGGAAAAATTATTGACATCTATAAATTTGTTAACAAGTTAGCATATACTACAAAAGTCTACTAATCTACACTTGGTGTGACCAGGCCCCACCTGGATTACTGGAAGTCTAGATTAAACGAAACAACAATCAACTGTGCAGATTCTTCTTGGGTAAAAGAATAAGTGCCATTATCTACAATTTTGGTTATGGTCTGTTATCGTCCTACCATAATATCGCTAAAATATTATAATGTTCATATTATAATATATTTGTTTTTAACAAATTTTTACAAAAAATTACAAAAATATTAATTCATTATAAATTATAAAAAAATTATAGTTAAATACCTTTCAAAAAATTGAATTATTTAATTTACGATTACGGTATATTAATTAATATGGTATCACAATGTAGGCTGAAATTCTGAAATGTCCGATAAAATTTGATCTAATAAGTATCCTGTTCACTAAGTTTTGGCTGCTACATTTATAGCAGCCCTAGCAAAAAGTAGTTTGTTTCTTCCATTTGGAAACATCTAACATTTTCCCCACATTTTGAGAGTGAGCTCTAGAGGTAGGGTCCAAAAAGTTGTACTTAAGGTTAACTTGACCATGATAATAACCTACTTCTTGAGTATTATTGTACGATTTCTAGCCATCCAAAATTATTATTCGTTGATAGCAGCGAGGCAATAATAGAGTAATACCAGAATATCTTATGCTATTCATAAACACCTTACTAAGGGCAAGGGAGAAATTTATTATTATTTATTACCTATATAAATGTATCTATTTACAATACATACATATGTATTATGTAATCAATATTATAAGTATAATCATTAATTCAAACAAAATTATTACAATCCGGATTAACAGTATGTATAGCATAGTCTGCATTACGAGATTCCACTATAATGTATTATTTGGCTTTATTCTAAGTCCTTTATAGCTATGTAATTAGTATAAATATGTTTAAATTTCTGCTTAGTGACTGCATAATAAACTAATAATAATACAATAGTCATTCGAATATTTTTAATTTAAATGTTATAATTTCGATAATTCAAAATTCAAGAAACCGAGTTAAAAATTTGATTTATAGAGGTTTTCGATTTACCGAGTGTTTGAATAATCAATCTAACCTGTCCCACCGACAGGCATTTTGAACTATCGAGGTAACCGGAATACAATATGTATTTTCTTCTAATTATAGAGGTTTTTCAGGGGACTCAGTGTTTAGTTTGATTTATGGAGTTTTTCGAATTATCGAGTGACTACTGTAATAATTAAAACAGCATGAACATTCAACATGGCACCTAGTTATGATTCATTTATTCATAACTTATTTATTTATATATCTAACAACAACTAAACAATAAGTTTACAATTTTAAAAATAACATGTTATTTAGGAAGGTATGTAATAATTGATTGTAATAGGTAGATTTATGGATAAAAGTTAAACAATGATTAATAAAGAGTTTATTAACTAGGGGTAATACAATACTTTTAATATAATCGCTTTAATATCTACCGTAGCTAATGTAAGTACAATACCCAGTGGCACCGAACCCTATGTCCATAGGTTGAAGATGCAACACATGTTTTGGGTGGGTGGTGGTACTCCTATAGGTTTATTTTCGATTTCGCACTTAAATATAATAGTTGGAATACCGTGTAATATACTTAAGACTCAACAGCTACAACTAGTAAGTTGAACGACCTGCACACAGCGGTCCTAAGAATTATCCTAAAAATCCTAAGAATTATGAATATATGTGATCTATTTTGGTCTTATGCCGATTATTGTGTCGATATAATTTAATAACATATAGACTCGTTTGTATCGATTTGCGTGTAACCAATTTTATTATCAACAGAAATAATAGAATATACCATAATATACAAAAACATCTATTTTTAATTTATTATTAAACTACTAATAATATTGTGATAATACCTGTTATTATAACTATATTTATTTTATTTTATTTAATTTCCTTCTGTCTATAAATAATTTAAAACGTAACCTGTATTACTAATCTATTTATTATATTACTAATTGTTATGACTCTTAGTCTGTGTAATTCGGTCGTGTTTTGATTAATATATTTTTGCTCTCTTATCTACAATGCCGTGTAACGTTTGTCTTACAAACGTTTCGCCAGCAAAAAAAAATCATGTGTTCCATTTGTTATCAACTTTTTCACAAAAGCTGTTTATACTTTATCTACATTCAATAAATACAGAGATGATCCGCATAACTTGACATGTGATGAATGTGAGCAAAACAAAATTATAAAAAAAAAATGTTACATCTAGGAAATCCGTCAAGGAAATGACAAAATACTGGATGCCCATAATGATGAAGGTAATATAACTTCTACTGATATTAATGAAATTAAATCATCAATCTATGAAATACTTAAGAAATTAGATAGTTAAATTACATCTTTCAGTGCAATTGAAAAATCTGTGTCATTTTTATATGATAAAGTTGATGAGTATAATGAAAAATTGTAGAACATAGTACAAAAAGTAAAAGATCATGATGGCGGGCTTAATACTTACGAGAATAAAATGTCTAACTTTGAGCATGCAATTGATATTTTGAAAGGAAATGTTAATATTACCGAACAGGGAAAACTTTCTAACAACTTGGATATAACTGGTATACCTAAAACGACGAATGAAAACTTACCATTACTACACCATACCATTTTGAAAATATTTTGACTCTTTTTGAGCTGTTTATGCTAATTTTCAGTTTCCAATTTTTTTAGTTTTTTATTCTATAAATATCAATAAAGTTTATCTGTTGGGCCAAAAAGTGTAAAAATTTAATACAAGGCTCCTGATATATTGTTACAATATCAGTTGAAAAACATTAAAAATACATAGGCACAATTTTTTTTTATAAGCATTTAAAGATCAAATTTTGACAAAATTTATCAAATTTAAAATTGAATAATTATATTGTAGTTAAAACTGTATAAAATGTTCAACTTTTTATCTAATGATTGAAAATGCAAAACAAGATTCTACGTAAGTAGTTAATTCTGTTATTAAAAAATCTAAAAAATACATAAGCACAGTTTATTTTTATAGTCATTTTAAGTTTAACTTTGGACAAAATTACATAAAAAAAAACCTAGAATAACTACTATTTGAGTTATTTTGTTGTGATTGTGTAGTGTTATTCGTAGGTACTTCAAACTTCCAAAGTACACTATCATATATCTATGGAGTATGGACTATGATAGTATCAGGGTTTGTTGTTGACGTACAACACATTATAAGTACTTAATGGATATTGTGATATGATTAATTTGGAATTTACTATAGGTACCTATTTTAGGTCAATTTTTTTTAATACGATAGATAAGTATATAATATGTCTTATACCTAGGCTGACATACCGTCTCCGCTCAGAATCATTTTTCTTATACAATGATATTATATCATTGAATTCAAATTTAATACTATCCATTATACAGTGACCCACTTGTAACCTACTGTACAGCAGAGCACCTTTTTTTGTTTTATTTTTCATTTTCTTTATCACTTAAGACTTTATATCGCTTACTCTCTCTTTTCTGCACAAGCTTTGCTTTTGAAAAGAGAACCAAAGATTAATTAATTTATGCTTATAACATGTTTTGTACATTTAATTTTAATTTGGTAACAATATTATAAATGTTATCAATTTTCCAAATGCTAAAAAAAAAAATGTAACTCGATAACAATAAATTAGGATGACTTACGTCAGTAAAACTTTAAATAATAAAAAAAACATAAATTGTGATATTATATTATTACAATACACACGATACAAGCTAATAGATTTTATACGTATCTCGCATCCTCTCTTCAGTCGAATTTAACTGCGTCATTAATCGTCATGTCGGTCATTTCACTGACATTTTAAAAATTAATTCAACATGTTGTAAATGTGGAGGAATTTGTGATGAATTAAATAAAACAAATTGGACTCGACATTTAGAGTGATAAAAAAATAAAACGTTTGAATATTTGTACTAGTGTCACAAAAACTACAAAACTTCATTTTTTAAGCCACCAGTCAAAGCTTCATCATCAACAACACTTATTTTGCCAACAAGAAAAACAGGTATGCTACTTTATTTTGAATACCTATTTATTTAGTATTTCAGTTCATAGTTAATTAATCAGTAGTCAATACCTTTAGATCCATTCCATTAGATCTCATAATATTAAAGTGTAGGTATATTTTCCAACCATATATGTTTGAAAATAAATTTGTAAGCAACATGCATAGCTAGTAATAACATTATTAGAAACTCAATTATAGTCATAAAATATTAGATCTATATTAAAATATATAACGGACATTTTTTTGTGGCATTGACGACGATGCCGGAACTGCTTAAGTATTATATTGACAGTTCAAAACCAGGTCTAGTTATTCATATTTTGTAACCTACCAATTTTACATTTTTAGTTTTAAATTTAAACCTAGTTTGAGCCTATAAGAGTTAAATTTAAATAAAAGTATAAAAGAAGTAAGTTTTGATCCTCATTTCGAGGACATAATGAACAATGGTTAAATCCATTGTCAAGAGGAAGTTTTAAGGATTTGATCATTTTAATGTCCAAAAACTCTGTTTCAATTTCAGAACTTATTACAAAGTTAAAATCTAGAGGCGAACAAGAATTATCTTTTATTAGTTGAGAAAGGCAGAATCAATTAATGGAATGTACCTATGGCCAAAGATATCAGCACAACTATTCAATATGAAGGAAAAAATACCAGATTTTTTAGTATAGCCATTGACTTGACGTTTGATGCTTCGCGTAAGGAGCAAATGTCTTTCATTATTAGATATACTGGTTTAAAATTTGGGAATGTGTAGAACAATTAATAGCAAGGATGGTCAAGTTAATGGTTTTTTTAATATGAATACATGTTAATATGCATCAGTAACAAAAAGTTAAAAGTCAAAAGTTAATTTAATAATAGGTTAACTCAGTTAAGTTAAAAGTTAATACACACTTTTTATTAATTAACAAAAGGTTAATTTGTTTATACAACGCTAGTATACATAATTTTTTTCCAACCCAAAACTAAATTATAGACCCCGTTATAGACTATATAGTTTTTATACTTTATACAGTATTTCCATATAAGTTAGATTCAAATGATATACATTTTTAACTTCAAACAATTCACGGTAAGTATTTTTTGACGTGAAAACAAAATAGACGAGTGAATAAATAGTGAAATCTAATAAAATTAAAAACAAGATTAATTAACTTAACTTACTTCTTAAATAAAAAAATTAATTTGTTAATTTCACGTTAATTAAAAAAGAAATTTAATAAGTTAACAGTTACCTAAGTTAATAAAAAGCCAAAAGTAACTAGGTAAGTTAAAATAAAATAAACTTTTCAACTTAACTAACTTTTTAACTCGTTAATGCTCAGCCTTGATTAATAGAAATGAGAGAATTGCCTAAAATCTGCACCAGTGATATTTTTAGTTTATTTAAAAACATAATGGAAGGTGAAGGTTATGATTGGTTAACTGACCTTGTAGGGCAATCTTACGATGGTGCATCAAATATGTGAGGTGTTTATAAAGGTATTCAAGCATTAAAACTCCCAATCAGAGTTCTGATGAATATGAACAGTTTTTTGATGATTTTGAACAAGATATAAGTGACGATGAAGATGAAGCATCTACCAGTGATAGAACTTATATTGAAAACTCAGGAAGAATGAACAAATTATATCAATTATATTACGTACTTCAGTTAAGAAATGTATTTCCAAGTCTTTATACATTGCTACAAATTGTTACATTACCAGTGTCGAGCGATCGTTCTTGAAGTTGAAACTGGTTAAAACAATGACAGAAGACGGGTCGGCTAATTTAATGATATTTTGAAAAAAGTACTTTATTATCAAATGCTTTAACATTAATTTAATTTTTAATAGGTAAGAATTTAATAATTTTATTTATATTTTATTGTTGCATCTAAAATATGTATTTTGTTTATGGTCCAAATAAGGTATTTGTTGGATTCAAGGATAAATATATAAATCATTACACTTATGTTACGAACCTATTATCTATCTACAACGTAGCACACATTTCTAGTAGTATTGAAAATATAATTATTAAGGCAATTACTATATTATAACATACTGAGGTCATTGCGAAAAGAGTAGTATAAAACAATTAAGCTATAAAAGTGTCGTCACACGACTCTCCTAGGGAAAGTCTCACTATTCCTAAGGTAGGATGTGAGTACGAGAACCAACTCTGTCTCATGATCGAATTTTGGCCACTACTACGACCAACCACTACAAAGGACACAATCATATATATAGGAGCCCATGACAAGAGCTCGTTAGATGGTTACAATATAAGTTAGCAAATGATTAGACAATTAGGGATACAAAAGACACTTAGAGACAGGTCGTAACACCACTCACAGTTTTAAGCCGCGTACACACTTGTAACATTTTCTGTTACTCTGTAAAGTCATAACACAGTTCCACCAGTTGTTAGTAAATTTGTCCGCATCGAAGGATGTTACGCGCAAATGTTCCAAGTGTGTAAATGGCTTTAGATATGATATTAGAGTCATAACACCGCTCACTTCTCCACCATAGTTTATATTATTTTAATTGTATACATTGTTAAAATAAACACGCTACATAACCAAGTAGGTACATCAAGTATTCATGTCTACGTTGATGTATATATCGACGTCAGTTGGGATGTAACACTTATACAGTTATATAAATAATTATCTCTCACAAATCTAAAACAAAACATGTTTTAAAGAAAGCTGTACCAAGCCCCCAAGGTCAACGGTTTTAGCTTGTCTATAATCTAGTCATAATTAGTAAATACATTAGTACCCATGTGGTGAAGATATTAAACATTATGTGGGTGTATAAAACAAATGTAGGTACCTATGTGGCGGGCGTCTAAACGAAAAATGCATAATTTCGCAACACTATTTGGAATGAACCTCGGCGCCACCGAGTCGATACCTATGCTCAGTTGATTTAGTGTATTAGTTATTGCAATAATAACATAATACCGGTAGGTAGGTAATACTTACATTTGTATTACTGGACGGTTCCGCCATATTGGATTCACAAACGATCAACAGTCCTGACTGAATTGGGTGAAAATATTATCGCGTTTGAAACGGGTTCGACGAGTGGTTTTTCGTCCAGACCAGACTAGGTTAACGATGAGCTCGACAATATCAGTAAACGCTGTTAATGTAAAAACGATTAAAAAACGGACGGTACACAATAGAAATCGTACTCAATAATAATAATAATAATAGTGTTGCCGTCCGCACGACAAAACCAAACGGCACTGGGCGTGCACCAGAGTGTAATATTTCACTGACCACTGGTAACACGTTTCGGACAATCAGATTTCCGCGAAACGGCGCACACTCGTAGCATAAGGAATGAGAAGTATGCTCGATGACGCGACCGTTCACATTCTCTTTAGGCGGCAGTGTACAATATTTACAATACACGCGACCGACAGATGAACACAAGGCCACGTCACGAGGATACGTTCAACCTAAATAATATGAAACGCAGTGCGCACAAAAACACGACAGGACGACGCACATGCGCACATGAACTAAGACGAAAACGCGTTTCGATTCGGTCATGATCCTCGTTTCTTATACTGCGCCGCCGCAGTCACTGTGGATCACGAGTGAACACGATGAAATATAAGACGCGCGGGGGCGCCGATTTTCCTGTGTCCTTTGGCGCGAGAATAAAATATAATATCACACAGTGTCTGGTTGCCGAACGAACATGCGTGATAAGAAGACCGCCAAACGTTACGAGTGTGGAGTTAACAATATTGATAACAAAGTGTGCGATGGGTTGCCTATACGATATGCTCCAAACAGACATGAACCCAAACGTAATAACTGTGAGGCCGACAATAATATGCCCTACAAATCTATGAAATACGTATGCAGTTGTACCTTAAAAATTACCAAAATATGCCCTTAAAATATGTTAATGTAAAAAGGTAATTGTAAAATGATTAAATGATTTATTTTTTTAATATATTGTTTATTGATATAATTTATGTTGAATACAATAATTATAAATTATTTTCAAATGTAATAACTGAGTTGCCAAAATGCGCGGGATAATAACGAAAATATTACCACCATAAGTATATTAATACTATATTAAATAAAACACGATAATCACAATAGTGATAACAATTTACATGTGTTCACGCGCGAGGATATGGCCTTGCATACGCTGCAGACATAATACAATCTATGAATACGTAGAGTAAATTAACAAAAGAGGCGGTATTGAGATTTGTATTGATTCTTCGTTACAAATTTTATTTAGCAAAGTGGCAAAAACTTGTTCTTATAATATGTGGACGTATTTATATGCAACAAATGGTTGCTTGTCAAATCTTCTGGGATACCATCTAACGTGGATACATTCACCGATAATACTTCAGAAATTTTCGTAAGAATATGAAAACCATTTTTTTTTTTTTAAACATCTTTATTAGATTAACTATTTTCATAAATGAGGTTCCTTAGCGAAAAAGATAAACCAATATTAGTAATATTTAAATATAAATTTCAATTATTGTATTTGACAACTAATGCGTGTGAAAGTTTTCATTCGAAATTCAATTCACTATTTCATACTTCACATCCAAGTATATTTCAGTTTTTGGAAATTTTGAAACAATGCCAAACAGATGCTAAAATAAAAATGCAATCTATTGTTTGTACTCCTCGGGAAACAACTAAATAAAGCAAATTAATAAAAAAAAATTCATACTAACCCAAATTACAAAATTAAAAAACTTGGAAATATCTAATTTTGATTTTGTAAAAATAATAAATTTTAAAAATCTACCACTAACACTATAATTATTTTACTATTCATTGCAAATTATTTGTATTTCACATATTTTTTTATTGTAAACAATTTATTATTTTAATATTCGACTAGGTACCTATTTATTGACAAATTAATTATATTTCATGTCTTTTTTTTATTATCAACAGTTTATTATTTTAATATTTGACTATTTGTATTTATATACAGTGGATTCCGCTTAATGTGGGCACGTTGGGACCAGCTCTGTTTGCCCATATTAAGCGGTTGCCCATAAAAACCGAAATAAGTTTAAAAAAAAAAAATTTTAATACCAAAAAGTTTTTATTTTTATTATCATATAACTAAAAAAAGGGAAATAATTACTATATAAATTAAATTACCAGACCAGTTTGCCCACAATAAGCGGATGCCCATATTAACCGGTGCCCACAACAAGCGGATTCCACTGTATATACTTTTAAAATTGTATACAAATACATCCATTCAGAAAGTATTTAAAATACAAAATATACTTGCCATGTATTTAAATAATTTTTATACTTTATACTTGTTTCATAATAATTTTGAAATACTTATACTTTATTATTTGTTGATTAAACATATTATTATATATATATTAATTATAAGGTATTTTGTGAACCAATGTGTGTTTGGACGCAATCGGGATACTTAGGTATATTTGGGATAATTTACGACTACCTGAATCCGGGCCGCAATCGGGCAACTCCGAAAAAGCAAATGATTTAAAAATTGATTTATTTAATTTTAATTCCATTGAATTATTTAATAATTATGTAAACAATATAATTTGTATTTAAATATATTGTATTGTTTTATTATTTTATTATTATTGTATTATTATTGCTGTGTTATTATTGTATTCTAACGTTCAGTTATGAACTATATTATTTTAAATTATTGTAATTGGATCGTTTGATCCGTTGAAATAAATAAATAAATATGTACAAGGGGTCGATTGAGGCATATTTTTAAAATTGGATTTAGTTAAATATTATTTAAGTTGGAAATTCTAAATGTTATACTTGCTTCTTTTAAGTTCGGTCGCTGTTATTGTCTATCACTCCAAAAACACTTCGTTATAACTCCGTGTAAAAAAAATGCTAAGTTAAAAAAAAAATTAGTAATGATTAAATCTTTAAAAGACGTGAAATAATATGGAAATTAAGTAAAATGCCATTTTATAATATTACAAATACCTATAATGACAAATAAGATCAATTGTAATGTTAAATACTTAGTCAAAATATTGTTGATAATTATTAATTACTGTAAATACTCTAGTGGTTACTTAATTGTATTTATTTAAGTATACTTCTACGTCCTGGAAAATAGTTTGACATCTTTTATAGATTTAATCATTACTAAATTTGGCTTGGGATTTGAGTCATAGATGGATCATGATGGCAAATCACAGAATTTATTAAGAACATATGATTTGCCATCGACCTTAATTGTTGCCACGGGTAATGAATTAATCACCAGATTGCTTATTTTATTTTATAATTGTTCAAAGTTTTCAGCATAATAATATAATACCGTCGCTCTGGATCATGAATTCACTAAACAATCACAGTCGTTGAGTCGTCAGCACGATTTTAGAAAGTACCTATAATCTATATACAATCTATCGCCAATCGTCGTACGTCGTCGTCGCCGCCGCCGGAACCGTCGTGATGGGAGTTGTAGCGGGGATGGATAAATGGATAAGCGGTGGTTCGGGACGAAAATATCGTAAATATCCCCAGACCCACCGCTTATCCAATCCCCACTGTTCCGCATGCAAAATCGGTCTTAAAAGTACTTGAACATTTTTGTTTATAACTTATAAACTATCTAACCAATCTGCTAGCGATTTCCTCTGTTCCCATATGCACAATATTTCTGATCGATTGATACCTTATACGACTTTATATGTTCAACCGTTTGCCCTGTAGAGGTTGACAAAGGATTGACAAATATTATTATATTTCAATGTTAAAACTCGTTTTCCTGTTAATATACTCCGCTGTGGCTATTCCACTATTTTTTTTACTTAGCTTCGAGCCACTACCGTAGCGCTGGATATACAAATTTTCATGAACGTTTGAAATTCATATTTTTACAATATTGGATATTCACTCGATTTTTCATGTAGCGGTATTGTTATTTTGTTGTTATTCAAAAACGAATAACTATAGATAAATGAACATTTTATTGAATATTTATACTTTCATTTTCTATACACCATACAAGTATAGATACAATTTTGAAAATATTTCGACTCTTTTTGGGCTGTTTATGGACATTGTCAGTTTATAATTTTTTTAGTTTTTTTTATACCTAAATATCAATAAAATTTTATTTGTTTTGTAAAAAAGTGTGAAAGTTAAATGCAAAGCTCCTGGTATATTGTTACAATAGCAGTTGAAAAATATTAATAATACATAGGCACAATTTTTTTTTAAGCATTTAAAGTTCGAATTTTGACAAAATTTAATAATTATTTTGTAGTTAAAAATTTATAAAATGTTATAGCTAAGGATGGAAAATTTAAAACAAGGTTCCACGTAAATATAGGTTATATAACTTATATATAAATTACTTTTAATCACAATAATATCATGAAATATACTCAGTAATATCATAGGCCGACAACTTTTTCGTTTATCGTTATTAAGAACTAAAACGTAATACATGTTATAATATAATTTTTTTTAAATAGTGTTAATACCTATTAAATTTAAAAATAATAACTTATGTGGGTAGGTAATGGAC